TATACATCGAGGGTTTTCAACCGAAAAGTCAGTGTTGTCTGAGCTGACCCTGCTCTTTCCTCCAGGATATTTATTTGCCCAGGCAGCCTGAAATTCTCACTTTCATATGGCAGGATCCTACATTGCATGACCATCTCAGGTTCTTTTACCACACGGTTAATTTCTGTCTTCAAATCAAACTCTGGATGTTTTACCTGGAAGTTTTTCTCCTTCTTGATAAATATAGGATATCCACAGTTTCTGTAAAAATGGTATAATTGGGGTGAATGAGAGAGAGTCTAGAGGTAGACATCTGGTCTTATTGAAGGCAACAGTGGAATTTACCTGGACTTGAGAAAGACAAGGATTATAATCTTGATTTATTCAGTTACCCTAAAATACTGAGCTGCTTTAAACCCAGACTGGCCTTTGAATCAGGAGTGTATACATCTGTGAACTTGCTCACACACTATCATTTCCCACAGTTCTCACTTTTCTGTGGTCTTGCATAAATTCTGTTATATGCCAGTATCTCCCACCTGCCAGGAATCCCTGCTTTGCTTAAAAAATATATTCAGCTTTTGTAACTTGGTTTTCTGAAACCAAATCTGCCAGCCCTGTATGAGTGATTCAGATACACACACTGTCTTTCAAATGGCAGTGCATACAAGTCACATTCTCATATTTAATGCAGTATGAGATACAAAACCCTAAAATAATAATGGAATATTTGAGCATTAGTGAAATGAAATGTCTCAATCTACCTTTCTGCCCTCCTTTAGAAAATTGTGTAATGATCTAGCCCAGGACCTGCTGATAGTTCCAAATCTTTTGTGTCCTAAAAGGACATGTGCCTCCTGCTGTGCTCCAGACAAAGGTTTAGGAAGGGGAGGTGCTTTCCATTGGTACCATCCTGCCAGGTACACACCCTGGAATTAGCCCACACATGTGACGAGCATCAGCTCCTCGCAGACCTGCAGGCATCCAGCCCTGTATCACTCTAGCCCTTCCAAAGAGCCATAAACTATTTACCTTTCTCACTCACCTGTGCTGTTGTCAGTGACACCAAAGGATGAAGGAAGAAAACTAGCGTGCCGATCAGTTTGGTACTGCGTGAAGCTTTCACGTAACATGAGGGCAGAACTTGTATAACTGAACTTTTTAGCAGCTTGACAGCTGCTGTTCAGAGGCTCCCTGGCAGCTGTTTGGCCACCAATACCCCACTGCTGTGCTTCTAGTCTCCGTTGTCTGAATCAAAGGAGATCTGAGTGACAGTGTTGACATAAGTCAAACCAGCAGCTTAGAAGACAGACAAACCTTGGAGGAAGCAACAGTCTCTTGTGTATTAACCAATCTACTTTTTCACTTGAATCTGTGTAGAATGCACTTTTTCCTCTCTTGCTTTCTATAATACACCTCATGGGCATATGCTGTCTGCTTTAAACCTTCACAGCAATGCAGTCAATTGTTTAGCTTTTGTGTACGACTAAGGACACCCTTGCCATCAGTACCAGAAAAATAGGTAGAAAACATAATGAACAGGCCCATGTTTCCTCCCCTGTCCCTTCAGAGCCTTTCTGTAGGCTTGGTTCTCTAAGGTCCTTCCCCTGAAGCTCATGGCTCATTTTCTCAAGTAGAGAGACCAACATAACCTTGTTTCTCCAGAGGCTATTCCCTAAAATCTTCTTTGCCTTCCCCCCATGTCTTGTTTTCCTCTTTTTTTGCTGTTTCCCAAAGTCAGAAATGAACCTGCACAGCTTTACAGGGTGCCCTTCCAACACCTAGACTCTTTGTTCTGCCTGTGTCTATCCTCCACCTTTCTGCTCTCCTTCCTTCGCCAGACAGGACTGCCAAAACTGGTCCTCACTCAGGCTTTAGTTAATCTCCTTGTCAAAAGGAAATAGGTCTCTTCTTATTTTGGACCTGACTCCTGTGAGGTATTGTAAACATGGCCCCTTCCAGTTCAATAGATAAAAACAAATTTAAGGCAAAATCTTAATAGTCTCTCTGTGGTTTAGCTCCAGACAGCAACGAAACACCAGACAGCTGCTCACTCACCTCCCTCAGTGGGATGGGGGAGAAAGTCAGAGGAAAAAAGGCTATAACCAATCTGATTTTGAATCCAGACAGATCCAAAGAGTTTTGGACTTAGGTGTTAACAGAAAGTACAATCCCTCTCAGGATCAAAGTTAAATGCCAAGATGGTATAATAAGCTCCCACAGTTCTATTTTCCAGTAGAGATCTGATTTTGGTACACTTTTCAGGCTGAGATCCAGGCTCTTTAGATGAGCTTACATGGCACAATGCTTATTACCCTACTTTGCCATGAGCAGAAGGCACTGGTGTGGTGTGGTAGAAGTAGACCCCACAACAGTGACAAACTGCTCACAAGGTAAATTACCACTAGGAGACCACCACTCCATTACCACTTTGCTTTTCTGGGAATATATTAGTAAATAGATAGGCTGTAACATGGAAAGCTAAGTAATACTGGCTAAATAGCAAAATCTAGTGATTCTTAAAATGTAAAAGAGAATCCATGTACTGGACCCAAACCCATGTGAAACAAGCATCCTCCCACTTTAAACTACCTTCTGCAAGGTGCTGGAAGAGGTGGGCCAGACTAGTAATTTATACAACACCAGGAACCAAGAGAAATACTGGAGGTGAATGTCCTCTAGAATCAATTGCCTTGATTAGCAAAGGATGGAGACCTCCAGCAAGGGAAATGTCCAGAGCTGCCCTTCCCACGCTGTGTTGGTAGTACCTCAAGACACACACTGTTAGCTAAAAGCACGTGCAACTGCCAGCATCCAGCTACAAATTCAGACGTGCAAATTGTGGTGTCTGACTGTAAGTGTCTAGGTGTGTCCTTGTGACTTATCTCAAACAATACTCAAGATCTAGAACTGAATTGCTTTATGACAGCTGATATCCAACGGGTAGTCTGGAAGAATGTTTGTCTTCCACTGGGAATCTGCTGATCAAGAAGGTGTCTCAAATATTCTAAGATACCCTAAATTGGACTAGATTCCCATGTCTAGACAAGTAAGTAGTGGCTTAGTCTACACTGTCATTTTTAGTGAGGATGTCCTGAAAATAGTCAGCAGAGCATAGACCATGTTTGGACTTTAACCTAACCAGACACTGATGTCTGTTCAGCATTAAGTGAGCTCTGCCCTTCGTGTCACTTCAGACATCATGGAGCATTGCATATCTGCACAGGGTTAAGAATTGTCACATAGGGGAAATTAGTTGCCTTGTGGACCAGCAGCTGCAGATCAGGAAGGGTACCCTAGGCCACTGCTTGCCTTTGGCCAACCAAAGAGAGCACCTGTTAATTTTTTTATCACAGGCAACCTTTTTGATAGCTGTGCTGCTCAAGGAACAATCTCTTACTCAGGTCACTATCTTCCTAGTAGGCTCCTATGCAAAAGGAGTAAATTGCTCACAAGTAAGTCACCCTTAATGAAAGCAAACAAGCACATCTTTAATTAACAAAAATTAAGATGGCTGGCAAGTGGAAAAATCATTAAACCTTAATCTGGATTAAATTACTTTGTTAGTGGTTGTGTCAGTAAGTGCTCCCCTCATCAAGCCATCAAAGATTTGAGAAATATGTATTCTTATCAAGATTTAGAAAAAGTACTTGGTACAGTTTTTCCTGATCCTACATGTAGCCACTACAGAGGCATTTAACCTCCACTTGGAAAGTAAAGATCATCACAGAATGGTTTGGGTTGGAAGGGACCTTAAAGACCATCTAGTTCCAACCCCCCTGCCATGGGCAGGGACACCTTCCACTAGACCAGGTGGCTCCAAGCCTCATCCAACTTGGCCTTGAACACTTCCAGGGATGGGGCATCCACAGCTTCTCTGGGCAACCTGTCCCAGTGCCTCACCACCCTCTCCAGGAAGAACTTCTTCCTGATATCTAATCTAAACCTCCCCACTTTCAATTTAAACCTGTTACCCCTTGTCCTGTCACTACAGGCCCTTGTAAAAAGTCCCCCACAGCTTCCTTGTAGGCCCCAATAATTAGCTCATGTCTCTTGAGGAGTACCTGCAGCTTGCAAACAAAAGAACAAGTGTTTATGTGGTGAAACAATGTAAAGTGCACCGCAGTCTTTTAGCTGATAAAGTAATTTCTCCAGTCAAATTTTAATAACTGGATCTTCAAAGGGAAAAGCTCGATCATGGCACAAAAAGAGGAGAGACTAAACTGTATGGGAAAATAGACTTCTAAATTCATTTTCTGTCTCTAGAGCTGAAGGACATGTGACAGTTAATGAAGTAAAATGAGTAGACAACTCTCATCTCAGAGATTTACTCTATAATGTTCTTATCTGCTTTCCTCAACCATCTCTATAAACCAGGTGTGAATGGCTGTTTTTAAGCTTTAAGCAGTGAATATGAAAATGTAAAAAAAAAAAATCCTGTACATTAAACAAAAATTACTTAAATTTCCTGACATGGAGAGTTTTTATTAAAAAACAGTAAGAAAGTTGAAAAGGGGATTTGCAACTGAGCATTAGATAAGCATGTTTTTATTACACATTTCAGATGTAAAGAGGATTTAGTTCCAAGCCAAAAGTTGGTTTGGTAGGAGATATTACCTTCACTATTTATAGATGTGATATAAAAGTCCAAATATAAGGGAATACGTTGCCTTATTCTATAAAAATGCCCAATAAACCCAGGATCCCTTTCCATCCCTTCTCCTAAGGCAGTATATATCATCATTACGAATTACCAGAGGTCCAAAAAAAAAAAAAACCCAAAAACAATGCTTCCCAAAAAAACTGGATGGATCACTTAACTCACTAGTCCCAGAATGCATCTACACAGATTTATACACCGACATTCAGAGAAAGTGTTGCAGCATAATCCAGCAGTCACGACAGCAAAGCCATTAGGAAGAAACCAGTTTCCATGATCAGCACCCTGCTGCTCCGGCATCCTGTGCCAGAATGCTGGCAGAGGTTACTGTCTTCAAAGGAGACCTATCTATTTCAGTTTCTCAGAGGAAGTCCACCTTCTCATAGGCCTTTTCAATGAGGGTTAACATGTTCTTCATGTCAGCTGACTGCTGAATAGTGTTCATATCCTTTAAAAGACCTTTCTGATTTTTTATCTTCAGAATTTCTTCCTAAAGAAGAAAAAATAGAATAGACAAAGAAACAGCTTTCATTGAGTCCAATGGAATTTTCACTTTCATGTAGCCCAGCTGTACCTAAAATACAGCCAAAATAGAAAGGATTCAAAAGACAGACTGAGACAGTCTTCCTTCCATCAGTTAGAGAGATATTTCAGACACGATTACTGGTTCCCTAGGAACACAGGGCTCCTAGGAAGAGACTTGTGATCCTTTAAATGGCAGGTTTTCTATGGATTTGCTCTGTTTTTAAAACAAAGGCATATAGTTCCCAATGAAAAAAAAAAAACCCAAAAACACACACCACCTTTCAGATATTTCAGAATTGTCCCCTCTGGCAGAGATTAAGTGATAAAAGCACATTCTGTCCCCAGGTGCCTCTGAATATATATTCCATGCTCACCTGCAAAGTAGGTGCCTGTAAACTGCGTCTGGGGAGTTCTGGAAGGTGGAGTACTCCACTGCAATTTTCCTGGAATACCTAGAAGGCAAACAAGAGGAAAACAACAAAAATACAAAACCAACCATCAGGCACACAAGTAGGAAAATAAAATGGCTTTCATCATCCAACTTCTGAAAACTAAACTTCTCAATTTAGCCAATGAAGCTGGAAAGGTTGAAAAGATACATTCCCAAAGGCAAATAAGGCGTGCCTTATATAACCCTCTCTGCAGTGATAGCTCTGGAATCATAGAACGGTTTGGGTTGGAAGGGACCTTAAAGATCACCCAGTTCCAACACCCCTGTCATGGGCAGGGACACCTTCCACTAGACCAGGTTGCTCCAAGCCACATCCAGCCTGGCCTTGAACACTTCCAGGGATGGGGCATCCACAGCTTCTCTGGGCAACACATTCTCGTTAGAGAAATACAGCAGCATCCACTGAAAATACCTTCTTGGCCTTTTTTTCATCTTCCTCTATCTGGTTCTTGAGCTGCTGGATTTTGTACTGCAGTTGCTGTGTATTTTCTTCAATGCGTCCTGCTGATCGCTCAGCTTCATTTATTTCTTCCTAAGACAAACCAGACACAAAACCAGAATAAGATTTGCCTTGTAAAAGGTACCGATAGTCAGCATCAGCTGAGGCACTGAAAAAAGCTATCTAAAAAGATATGCTGCTTTGTAGAGAAGGTGAGCGACAATAACAACAAGCAGTGGACAACAACCCCACAACAACCCCTCTATTGCCTTTCATACCTGCAACTTTACCAAAGTTTCTTCATTTGTCTCAAGCATTTGTTTCTCTGCCATCTGAAGGCTCAGGACATTCTTCAGGTTGCCCAGCTTCCCTGGAGGCACCTTTAAAGTCTTGAAAAATCTCAGCACCCTTTGTTATAGAGAAAGGAAAGCATGCCTTGTTTGGAGTTCTTTGCAAAACAAAAAGAAACTGCCTAATGACTTCCCTGGGGAAAAACTAAACTGGTGTAGCCCAATTGCTGCTGCCAAGGAAGTAAAAGGATCCAGGAAGAAGAAATGCTGTCTTGAATTGTTCTTCAAAATCCTGTGGAATAGATGTTTAAAAGGAAGGAACCAGGAACAACATTCTAACAGACACTGTGTGGTTTCTGTCCCACTAGCCTGTACTCTCCCTGACTGTCAACAGACATTAACTAGTATTTCTCCAGTTCTGATCTTTCTGCTTTTCAAAGTAAAACGAAGTTCTAAAAGTAGCATTTTTAATTGCTTCCAAACAAAGATAACTTGAGTAAAATCTGTAAATGCTTTTGTGAAACATGGTATATAGTTTTATGACAGAGAGAGTTTTAGCTTGCTCTCAAATGTCTTCTGATTCTGCAGAAGACTTGAATTCTTCCAAGCTGGACCTCTGTCAGATACACCAAACTGTCACAATTTCCATGCATCTCAGATGAGCCTGCAGGAGTTTGGGAATTCAGAAATTAAACGCATCACAAAAAAGATATTTAAAGAAATCATTTATGAAAAACTAGCTCCTCATGTTTGAATCTTGAGGTACTGTAAGAACAAAGAAAGCAACATACAGGCTCAGGCTCTATGTTGACAAGAGCCTGGTATAGTGACACACATGCACATAAAAATTCTCAGACACTCAAGAATATGTAATTACTCCCACAATGACATAAGAAGGCTACAAGTCATGGCCCAGCCCAAAATTTCAAATCTCTTAGAAGTAACTTCAACAGTCAGAAAACGAATCAGCATTTACAACAATTTAGCTACAACTACTCTTGCCTCAATCATAAAGTGATAACAAAATAAATAGCTGCCCACAAATTTAAACCCTTCATAGAGTACAAAGCTGGTTCAAGCTCTTAAGAATACCTCCCAGGTTCTGTTAGTCATGCAGCAGTTAAAGTGGGCCTTCCAACAGCTCCTGCTTGTCCACTTCAATCAACGTACTGTCAAGATATTTCCCTCTTTGGTTCTGCATCAACTATCCCTTCCAAGATTTCCTGAACACAGAATTGCTTCTGGAAGCAATTGTGGTGTGATACAAAACAACTGGGTAAACTAAATCCCTTCTCTCCCCGAGTTTGTTTGTTTGTTTTTAAATTGTAATTTCTTACCTTCCTCTCAGAAAGTTGAGGTGCTTCTGAACATCATTTTTTCTCCCACTTTGCTGGTACAAAACAGATCTGAAAGACAACAATGGCAAAATTCCATCACAAAGCCTGCAAGCAGAGAGAACACATCAAGTGAAGTGAACAGTTAGAACTACTCTAGCTAAAAATTTCCAGCTTCAGATAGAAAGTGTTATAATAGACAAAATATACACAGTCAGCCATATCGCCCAAAAAAGCACCAAAGCTTTTCCAGTTTAAGCAGTGTTGTGATTTTTACCTTATTCCTTGTGGAAACAGAGAAGAAATACCAGGATATTTAGTACTTACAGCATTACTGAATCCATCAGAGTTTCCAGAAACTTCCTACTGCTCTCTGAGAGAGTCTGCCAAGATCCTATTTTAGCACTGGCTAGTTTCACCTTTTTTGAAGAACCTTTTTCTCCTGTTAACGCAAAGGACAAAAAGAAAATACCTGATTTTTTTAAATCTGGATAGACAGCGTTGTGACTCAATTCAGTCAGACAATAGTCAAAGGTGTAACAGTCAGTTCTGCGACATGGAAAAATCTTATCAGGTCAAATCTGCCCACATTAGGTGGTACTTATTATTTGCAAGTCACAATTAAAAAGCACAAAATAGAAAAGTTTTTTTTCTTACAGCATTTTCATTCTAAACAGATACTTTCCCAGAATCATGGGCAAGACAAGTGAGCAAACCCATAATGAAATGGGTTTCATTAAGTGTAGTCAGTAGGTCGAAGGAGGGGATTCTCCCTCTCTACTCTGTTCTCATGAGACCCCATCTGGAGTGCTGCATCCAGCTGTGGGGACCCCAACATCAGAAGGATATTGACAGGTTGGAGAGAGTCCAGAGGAGGCCACGAAAATGCTCAGAGGGCTGGAGCCCCTCTGCTATGATGAAAGGCTGAGAGTTAGGCTTGTTCAGCCTGGAGAAGAGAAGGCTCCGGGGAGACCTTATTGCACCTGCCAGTACCCGAAGAGGC